TAGTAGTAGTAGTAGTAGTAACAGTAGTAATAGTCTTTGTAGTAGTAGTAGTCGTAGTAGTAGTAGTAGTCGTAATAGTAGTAGTAGTAGTAGTAGTAGTAGTAGTAGTAGTAGTAAGTGTAATTGTAGTAGTAGTAGTAGTAATAGTAGTAGTAGGAGTAGTAGTAGTCGTAGTCGTAGTCGCAGTCGTACTCGTAGTAGTAGTAGTAGTAGTAGTAGGCGTGCTACTAGTGGTCGTAGTCGTTTTAGTAATAGTCGTTGTAGTCGCCGTTGTAGTAGTAGTCGTGGTAGTAGTAGTAGTAGTAGTAGCAGCAGATTCTTCGTCGTAGTAGTAGCATTGATCTGCAGCACGCCATGTTGATGGAGGCGCAAACGCCAGTGGATCGATGGGGCGCCGCTCGAAACGCAGCGCCGAGAAACATGAGCGCCAACGGCGCTTGGGAAGGACAACCGACCAGGGAGATTCCAAAGGGGGTGGTAGCATCAGTCGTAGTAGTGGTAGTGGTAGTAGTAGTAGTAGTAGTAGTAGTAGTAGTAGTAGTAGCAGTAGTAGTGGTAGTAGTAGTAGTAGTAGTAGTAGTAGTAGTAGTAGTAGTAGTAGCAGTAGTAGTAGTAGTAGTAGTAATAATAATAATTAGTAGTAGTAGTAATTAGTAGTAGTAGTAGTAATTAGTATTAGTAGTCGTAGTAGTAGTCGTTTCGTAGTAGTAGTAGTAGTAGTAGTAGTAGTAGTAGTAGTAGTAGTAGTAGTAGTAGTAGTAGTAGTAGTAGTAGTAGTAGTATTAGTAGTAGTTGTAGTAGTAGTAGTCGTAGTAGTAGTAGTAGTAGTAGTAGTAGTAGTAGTAGTAGTAGTAGTAGTAGTAGTAGTAGTAGTAGTTGTAGTGGTAGCAGTAGTAGTAGGAGTAGTAGTAGTGATAGTAGTAGTAGTAGTAGTAGTAGTAGTAGTAGTAGTAGTAGTAGTAGTAGTAGTAGTAGTAGTAGTAGTCGTCGTAGTAGCAGTAGCAGTAGCAGTAGTAGTAGCAGTAGCAGTAGTCGTAGAAGTAGTAGTAGTAGTAGTAGTAGCCGCCGTAGTAGTCGTAGTAAGAGTAGTAGTCGCAGTAGTAGTAGTAGTAGTAGTAGTAGTAGTACAAATAGTATAGTCGTAGTAGTAGTAGTAGTAGTATGTATGAAGCAAGCAGCAGCAGTCAAGATAGTAGTAGTATAGTGTGGTCTAGTAGGAGTTGAAGTAGTAGTGGTATAGTAGTAGAGTAGTAGTAGTAGTAGTAGTAAGACGTAGTATATTCGTAGTATCGTAGTATAGTAGTAGTAGTAGTCGTAGTAGTAGTATAGTAGATAGTAGTAGGGGTAGTGGGAGTAGTAGTAGTAGGTGTAGTTGGAGTAGTAGTAGTAGTAGTAGTAGTAGTAGTAGTAGTAGTAGTAGTAGTAGGAGTAGGAGTAGGAGTAGGAGCAGGAGGAGTAGTAGTAGTAGCAGTAGTGGTAGTAGTAGCAGCAGTAGTAGTAGTAGCAGCAGTGGTAGTAGTAGTACTGGTAGTAGTAGTAGTAGTAGTAGTAGTAGTAGTAGTAGTCGTAGTAGTTGTAGTATTAGTATTAGTCTTAGTTTTAGTATTAGTATTAGTATTAGTATTAGTTTTTTTATTATTAGTAGTAGTAGTACTAGTATAGTAGTAGTAGTAGTAGTAGTGGTGGTAGTCGTATTCGTAGGCGTAGTCGAACTAGTAGTACGAGTAGTATTAGTAGTTTTAGTAGTATTAGTAGTCGTAGTAGTAGTAGTAGTAGTAGTAGTCGTAGTCGTAGTCGTAGTAGTCGTAGTAGTAGTAGTGGAAGTAGTAGTAGTAGTAGTAGTAGTAGTAGTAGTAGCAGTAGTAGTCGTCGTCGTATTAGTCGTGGTCGTAATCGTAGTGGTAGTAGTCGTTGTAGTAGTTGTCGTAGGTAGTCGTAGTAGTAGTAGTGGGAGTAGTAGTAGTAGTAGTAGTAGTAGTAGTAGTAGTAGTAGTCGTAGTCGTAGTCGTAGTAGTCGTAGTGGTAGTAGTAGGAGTCGAAGTAGTAGTAGTAGTAGTAGTAGTAGTAGTAGTAGTAGTAGTAGTGGTATTAGTAGTAGTAGTAGTAGTAGTAGTAGTAGTAGTAGTAGTAGTAGTAGCAGTAGTAGTAGTCGTAGTAGTAGTAGTAGTGGTAATAGTAGCCGTAGCCATTTTGGCTCAAGCAGAGGACAGGTCCCTTGAGTTGTACCACGCAATACCCGGGGCACTAATGGCGTCTCAGCAGTCAAACGCAGAGATGACTGCCCTGGTGAGTGAACTGAGGGCTCTGTCCACCCAGTTGACCAGTGATAATGTGCTCCTTGTCCAGCCAGCAATCGAGGGCGCGCTCTTTACCATCAGCGACGCCGAAAAGAAGGCCCCAGGTATGAAGGCCGCTGCTGACACCCTCCGTGCGAGCCTCGATCAGGTCAGTAAGGACATCGTGGTGAAGGTCAAGGGCTTGGTGCAGAAAGCTAGCGACG